AGTATATCAAGAACTTTGCTCCAACTTCAGTGACCTATTATTATGATCCTATTACTTCTTACAGATGTTTCTTTAACATGACAGGTGCCTCATGCATGATACAATAGTGACCAACCTACTGATGTCAAGAAAGTATCATATATTTGCTGACCTTCAAGATTTTTCAAAGAGACGTATGATGGTCCAGGTAATGCACTATGTATTCATTTGTTTCATGTTAATCCTCAACATCAGCATTGATCATTAAAAAGTTATTAAATAATAACTTGACAAAGGAACATATTTTCTTCCCCTTCTGTAGACATATACCATTGTATGCAATGCACAATGTTCCCATACTAGCAACAGTGTTTCTTGAATAAACTCTAAAGTTTCCACATAGACGAGCTTATTATATGAAACCTGTTTGACGCACACTTCATATTGAACAAACCACCATTCTTGAGACCATTCTAAACACTTCCTGAAGATTCAAACTTAAAATCGGCCATATGTACCAAGAGTTGACTTAAAGTTAACCAATCTCTAGGTTAAATATATGTACCTCAGAAATATTTTCGCACAGATTTGCAATTTATACATGGTCCCTATGTTAAAAAGTTGGATACGGGTTTAAATATCACAAGTTCAGGATCTAGCGAATAAAAATTGAACTATATTTTCTAGAAGCTTCATTTGCTTCTTCAGTGAAAAATCCTATTATAATTGCCCCATTACATCATCCTTATACCAAGCTTACTAAAACCCTAGTCTATGCTGCAAAGAACCCACTTTTAAACAAAGAGAGCAGCTTGGCAATTCCAAGGAAATGTCTTTAGCTGAGACTCCATCAAAATCACAGTTAGTTACTCACGCAGCCCTATATCTATCTTTTAATCGAAACATTTAACAGAAACTGCAAAATACAAATAATTCAAACACAAAAAGAACTCTTTTTTATCAAAAAAAAACGGAGGAAAATCGCATACCTAAAGCTTTGAGATCAGGAAGGGATCCTTTAGGCAAAGGCGCCATCCATGCTCCAATTCCTCTTCGATCGAGAATAAAAAGATTGAAGAACACGAAATTAGGGTTTGGTTTCTTTACAAAGAGATCACTGGAAGTGAGGGAGAGATGAGGGGCGTAGCTCCGGCGAGAGCAGATAGAAGGAAATGGAGTGGAGAGAGAGATTGCATTGATCCTTTACTGAATAATTTACTCTGGAAAATGTAGTGTAGCCCCTTTAATCGATGAGGAGTTTGATCGACACCCTCGAAGTCTTTTGGGACGCCAAATCTAGCTAGATTTTTCAGCACGGGGTAGGTAGGGGCAAAAAATAGGTGCTTAAGCAGCTTAAAGCTTAAATGCGGAGTTGACTCTTTTTAGCCCTTTAGGCCCCGTTTGGCAAAGGGTTAATGAAGAGAGGTTAAAGAGAAGGATTAATGTACTTAGCCCATTTGATAATCCGAAGGACTAAATTATTAACCCGTTAAATAAGTTTTATTTTAGCCCTTATGATTAATTTTAGTGTTTGGGAATAACAATGATTTTGACTATTTTCTTTATAATTAGAAGGGTTAATTCTTATTCCATCTAAATAGGAGTATTAGTAAACCCCTCATTTTGAGGGGTTAACTCATTTTAACCCCTCTAGAGGGGTTAACTTAACCCTTCTATATTTTTTATGTTTGGCAAATTATGGAGGGTTAACTCACTTTAACCCTTATATAGATTTGTTGTGTTTGGCAGGTTAAGAAGGGGTTAAGTCTCCTTAACCCCTCACTTAACCCTTTGCCAAACGGTACCTTAAGATTTTTCTTTTTTTTTATCTTCGAAATTTCTTCATTAATCCTTATCGACTTCGACATAAAAAAGATAAAAACGTGGAGTTGTTTTTTTTCAAATTTAATGACTCACCAAGGAAACATGTATCTTCTACTCTTAGGGGCTGTTTGTTTCACCCTTTTATAGAAAAGGATTAGTATTTGGGGTCTGACAGTGACAAAAGTGTAATTTATGAAATCTTTGTGGATCCTATTCTAGAGTTTGGCTGGGGAAAATTTTATGGATTATGAAATCCATAAAGTTGCAACGGTTGGCGTATTTTCAAGACACCCAAATCGGAGGGGGGGAGAGGATTTGGGCGAGAATTCTGACATCGTTCTGGGGTTTTCGTTTTCTGATTCCTAATCCTCTCGATTTCGAACCCTAGCTCTGGAATCGCAACTCCCCATTTCTTCTCCCGCCTCTCCCCAAGCTTCTTCGCGCCTCCTCTTCCGTTGTTCTTCGATATTATTTGGGTTTCGGTTTGTGGATTTGCCCTAGATTTTGGGCTCGGCTTCTCCCGCGACCCGCTGTTCTTCGATATTGTTCTTGGCTGGTGGGGTTTGTTGGTAACGACATCAATTTATGGGTTTGCTGGTTGTTCTTCTCCCGCTGATCTTTGATATTGTTGTTGGGTTCTTGGGTTTGCTGGTTGTTCCGTCCGGTGGGGTTTGTTGGTAACGACATCAATTTCTGAATTATTCCCTTCGCAACAGCTTGGCATCTGCATGTATAAATCAGTTTAACCATTTTAATGTGATTATTTAATTGTGCTTGCTCTGATGAAATTAACATTAGTAGTGGAATTATTGATTTTGGTATATGTTTAATTATTGAAACAAGGGTATTGTTCGGTGGTTGTTTCATTTGGTATATAGTTTATTACTGATTTTATTAGAATTATTTGTCAGTGGGGTTTCATTCGCAACTGCTTGGCATCTACATGTCTAATCTCTCATGAATCAAGGGTTTTGGTATATAGTTGATTATTGAGCTTTGGTTCTCTGGGGTTGTTGTTGTTGTAGTCCTTCAAATGACTAAACCTTGGAATGAAAACATTAATTATATTTGTTTGATCAGCGTGCATGCTTAGGGTGCAAAATATGAAATAGTTGTTTCACTACTTGATATATATTTGTGGATATGTAGATATATGGTTTTACGATTTTAATATTTTTATTAGTTATTTAATTATCTTTAGTTTCCAAACATTATTACTGTTAAGTTGTAAATATATGCTAATTTTACAATGGATTTAGATGGATAACGTAGATGAAGAACAATTGAAGAGGATGTGTGCTAATACAGCTGTGTCTGCGGTGGTCACAATAATAACATGTATTCTGAGAATGCGTGCTAAGCGCAAGAGAATTTCATCTTGTACGAAGGAGGAAAAAATCCAAAAAATTTATTGCAGAGAAGCTCACTTCAAACGTGTATTGGAAGGCTATAGTGATAGTTGTCGGTCTTACATTAGAATGAGACCGAGTGCCTTTTTTAAACTTGCTACAGTAATGAAAGAAAATTGTTTATTAAAGGATTCCAGACATGTACAAGTCGAAGAAGAGCTCGCTATGTTCCTGAGTATAGTGGGGCATAAAACTAAAAATAGAATAATAAGGACTGAGTTCATAAGATCGGGAGAAACAGTGAGTAGGTATTTCAATAAAGTCCTACAAGCAATGAATGGGTTACGTGATCGCTATATGAAGCAAGCTCCAAATGAAGTTCCTGCAGAGATTGCAAACAACCCAAATTATTTTCCTTACTTCAAGGTAAAAATAATACATACACCTCAACATCTGTTTTAAAGTGAATATGTATTTTATTGAATATATTATAACTTATATTTTTTTATAGGATTGCATTGGTATGATAGATGGCACACACGTTGACGTAGTATTACCCAGTAACCTAGTTGCCCGTTTTAGAGGGAGAAAATGTGTGACACAAAACGTCCTAGCAGCATGCACCCCTAATAAACTATTCACCTATGTCCTAGCTGGGTGGGAGGGAGCAGCAAATGACTATAGGATATTACAAGATGCTTTGTCGAGACCACAGCCTTATGGGCTTCGAGTTTATGATGGTATTAATTCTTACTTATTCACAATTAAGAAAAAAATTAAATACTTGTCAATAGTGTGATATGAAGATATTGTTTAATTGTAATGTAGGTAAATATTACCTATGTGACGCTGGATACACCACAATGCCAGGCTTCATATCCCCATATCGCGGTGTACGATATCATTTAAAAGAGCACACCGGTAGGACACCAAAGAATAGAAAAGAGTTGTTTAATTTAAGGCATTCAAGTTTAAGATAAAAAATTGAATGCACATTTGGTATATTGAAGAACCGATTTAAAATACTATCGGCGAAGCCAAATTATCCATTTCCCACTCAAATGGACATTGTACTAGCGTGTACCGTGTTACATAATTTCATTGCTATAGAAGATCCAGATGATGATATTTTAAATGAAAATATAGACATTGATGAAGATAATGGGGAAGTGACAAATGACGATGACTCAAGTGTGGTGGATTATACTCAAACTAGGACACAGAGAGAGGATCGAGATTCAAGAAATGAATGGAAGGAGCTACGAGATCAAATTGCTTGGGCGATGTGGGTGGATTATTGTGCAAAGTATAATGGTGGTAACACAATGGAAAGTGGTTTAGCTTAATGTGATGTTTGTTCTATCTCGATGTAATAACTTGTATTATTTTCTTATTGTTCGCAACTATCCATTTTAATGTTTCTTAGCATGTACTAAACATTACTACGATTATCATCTTCGACCTTTTCATGTTGTTTCTATACATATAGGCGTTTCGTATATTCCTTTTCTAACGCAAATTGCTAAATGCATGCATATTATATATTGATTTTGCTTTCTTTAATAATAATGTCTACTTGTTCAATATATATTAGGTATGGTTAACAATCAGGCAGATAAGCAGCCCCTGCCTTCTCATTCTAATGCTCCGCCAAATCCAGCTGCTAACATAAACATGAACTTCACGCCTGTGCAACCACAACCTTTCTCTTCACCACATCATACATTCTCACCATTCTCATTATATGATGTTAATTATGGTGGAATGACACAGCAACCAATGTCATACGAGAGCATGTTAAGCAGTCCACAAGGTTTGCTATTTCCCACAGCCAGTTCTCAAAGTAGTGGACCTAATCAATTTTCACCAAACACTGGTGATTCAGCAGAGAAGGTTATTCATGATGTTGATGGTGAGGAGCACACTTCACCAATGAAAAAAGGGAAAAAATTAACTCATAAGAAATCGGGCCTGGGGGCAAGGTTGAACTCAAGAGGTGTGGCTAATAAGTTTTGGCTTCCAGAGCACGATGACGTTCTCATTCCTTATCTTGCAGAATTAGCATTAGATGGGCTAAAGCTAGACAAGAACTTCAAGGCAGAAGCTTATAAAATGGCAGCGATGAAAATCAACATGCAATTTAGGACTGATTTCACTCATATACATGTCATTAACCACTTGAAATGCTTGAGAAACAAATTCAATGACATGAAGACTTGCCTTGATATAAGTGGAGCTGGGTGGGATGAAATAAATAAAATGATTACACTGGATGACGAAACCTTGAAATCGTGGTCTCAGGTATAACATTCAGCATCCACATTGTCATTAGTAATTAATACATTTGGTTCACAACTTATGATTGTTTGTTATTGCAGGACAAATCCAAATCTAAGTTCAAAGCGTACATAAACAAACCCCTACCTCACTTCAAAAATTTACAAACTATCATGGGTGATGACCAAGCTAAGGGTGAATTTGTTAGGCCTGTGTATGCTAACATTGGGTCTAGTAGGTCCATACCTATTCCTGAAGATGATAGTGAAATTCCAGAGGAGAGTGGAACTACACCACAATCTGATGCTTGTAACCAACAACAACCAACTAGATGTAAGTCTAAGAGTAAAGACAACATGAATTCATCTTCTAACAAGAAACCTAAAAAATCAAATCGTGAAGAGGAAATTTTATGTGCCTTTGTTGACTCAATGTCTTAGTCCATGAGAAATCAACACATTGTTCATTGGACTGAGCAGTTGGCTGCATCGTTGAAGGAACATATGAATGAATACTCTGAGGAATTCTTGCATAGGATTTTAGATCACTTATATGACAATGAACGTGAAGCTAGAAGGTTTTTCATAAAAGGAAAGGAAGGTCAGCAGAGGTGCATTACCAACCTGATTCATGACCAAGGTTAGTCTATTAACTAATTTGTGCGGTTTGGATTACATGTTGATGGAGCATTTTGTTGTGCACACGTATATGTTGTTGCGCATATATCATTTTGTTATTTGCAAACTATTAATGTTGCAATACTTCTTGTTATGAAAACGCTATGACGTCATATAATAAATGAATTGGTACTTTTTAACTTTTGGTGCAGGTAAGTATGGATAGGCA